TCAGCAAACTAAGGGGCTCTTTGGTAACCTTTGTTCTCCTTCCTGCTACCCAGAGCAAATTAGATAGTTATGGGTTGACTGGATAACTCCAAGGCATCCGCAGGAAATTCACATTACTAGCAAATGAAAGATTAATAAAAAAGGAGTCCTTTGTAACAATGATTGTGAGTGAATACAGTTTGATAGTGGGCACAAGCACTCGGTGGTATGTTGAATCTTCCCACAAGGCCATTTTACATAATTTATTAACAAGATCATTTTACTTTCTGATTTAAAAGATTTGTTACTATAAGCTCCTGTGTTTTCCCTGAACAAGTCACACAATGCACACAGTAGGCAAAGTGTTAAAGGGCTAGGAAAATATTATTTCATCACTCCTGTTCCATTAGAATTCACTTGGGTGGCTGAGAAAATGGTTTATGGATTAGAGAGAGAAGAACAAGCTAAAACATTTCATACCTTCATCTCTGATAAATTCCCCAAACTCATTCTTCGCATCTGAGCCATAAATAACAACCATGCTTTTTGCTAAAAAGAGCTTTTTTCCTGTACCAGGTCTTTTGTCTTGGAGATGAATGCTATAATAAATTTGAAGTCTTAGGGGGGGCATTGTTTGAACTATAACATTATGGTTTACAACTGTTGCTTCTATTATGAGGAGGATAAAAAGCGACTATGAAGCTTGATCTCTGTCATAGAAACAGATTAATATTTCAGCCTTCAGCTTGGGTCAAGTGTATGATTTTTCCCAAAAGCACCTTAGCAATTAATTATTATTCTGTTTGCATTTAAAATCTTACCCCTTAAACCACCTTTCAACCTTATTCAAATGTTATGCTTACTTTAATTCTATATTGAATGAATTTTTTTCAGTTTAAAAATTATGCTATAGATCAACATAGGTAGGAAAGTTTTAGAGGAAACCATTTTTAGAAGGCAATGATTCATGAATAGGCATTATTTTTTTTGTTACTATTTCCTTATAATTGGACAATATTTGTTTAAAAATTAAGATTACACTTCATAATTTCAGTTGTGTTTCTCAGAAGATAAATGCAAACAGCTCAAATGTTTGCATTATTAAGCAAACAAAGCATGCTTGTAACTATGAATGAGAATAATGAAAATTACTGTGCCCATAAGCTCTAGGTTTCAGAGAATTTGGTCAAAATAAGATCCTATTAGTTTCTCCTGTGCCTTCTCTGCAGAAGCTGAACCACTTATATTTTTAGCTTTGCATAACCTGGGTTTGGTACACCTAGGAAAACTGAGAGCAGGGTGAAGGTCCTACTTGACGATCTTGCTCCCCTACTGGCACCAAGTCAGCTCTTCTTGTAGTAGTGCAAATCTGATTAAATATACCCAAAAATGGTGAAGAAATGGTTCCTCTCAGTACCATCAGGCTTTCTGTGTGTGTTTGGTCTTGGTTATTCCTAACACGTATGAGTTTAATTTTTTGGCTATCATCAGGTCCACGTATACTAGTCACCTTGTCTAGATCTAGCCCTAAGGATGTGAGCTTGCAGTGCACTAGTTACCTCTTGTGTTTTGATGGAACTGGGGGGGTTGGGCTGTCCTGAGAAGTTCTGCTCAGAACTTCTGGGGTCAGTGCTGAGGAGGGTCAGGTTTTAATGGGAGACTGAAAACATACAGACTGGATATGTGTGTGTGGAGAGGAGGAGAATGCTACTTACATAATGTAATATTTTATGTCAAGTATTTTTCAAAAGTGTAATCAATTTTAATTGCAGCTTCTAAGACATCAAACCTCATCTCTTTTCCACCTACTTAATTGTATTGATTATGTGCAGCTCCAGTATCACTTGCCCAACCCTGAACACCCTTACTCAAGCACTCGTCCTTAAAATACCTGACTGTAGATCTAAGGATTTTCTTAGCATTTGACTGTGTGGAGTCTTTATTTTCAGGTCACTTCTCATGTATCTCAAAATGGTTTACTTCAAAATTTATTTGTGTGCAAACATAAAATCAAGTTATCAACAAGTAGGGAAAGAATACCTTTGGCATAACCAAACGTGATATTAATGTTTGATTAAGCTAAAGACACATATTTATAGCTAAGAGCAGAATAAAGGGACTAATATGCCAAAAGTTGTATTGATTATATATTTTAAGGAATAATTACTAGCTATAGAATTAAACATTTTACATTCCTTGGTGAGATGTTTACACTCATATATTGTTTCAAGCATCAAAATTTTTAAAACCACTGCATAAACCAGTTAAATTTATGCGTAAGAAAAGACATTAAGAGAAAATGAAACAAACCTGACTTTTTCTGAACAGTTTGAAAGGAATTTAAAAATAAGTGAAATTGTATTAAGAAATTATGGAGGTTTTCATTATTTTTTCTCAATACTTTATATACTGTTTTGTTTCTTTGTATGTATGTTTGTTGGTAAATAGTTTTGTATCTTAAGTCTGTCAAAATACGTATATATATATATATATATTAGTGCTATAAATATGCGGAGTATGGCAAAGGAAACTATTATAGTGGAAAAGATGATCCATGTTGCTTGTTCTGTGTGAGTTTGAAAATTTATTTGATTTTTTAAATAATCACAACCATTTGGAGAATAGTAGCCAAATTTAAAATAAGGGATCAACCTTAGCTGATATTCTGTCCAACTACATGGACTCTCTGGTTATAGTCAGGGTTTTAGCCCTCACTCTTCCCACAGTCGAGGATGGCACAGTGTGGATCTAGATCTGTTGCAGCTGTGTTTCTGAACAGCTTTCTTTTCTACATGGGGAGAGACTTACATCCCTCTATTTATTGCTCTATGAAACTAAAATAAATGTACAATGAAATATGATTTATTTTGCAATCCAGCTTACTAAATCTGTTCTCCTTTTTAGACTCTCAGTACATCTTATATGATAATTTATTTATTCATTTTCAAACGGAAATAGCATTTTAGACTTACCAGGGAAAAACATTTGCTGATTTAAGAAATAAACTTTCTGTACTCAAGAATTTTAAAAATGTGAAGCCTTAATCTTTTATCTAATTCATTTTATGAAAAAATAAAAATATTTGTAAATGCCTTGCTATATAATTTTAAGTCAAACAATTTTGTCAATTCAAACAAAATATAAAAGACCTTTATTTATATTAAAGTACATAATATAAACCCAAATTTTGAATCATACCTTAACTTGAAGTTCATTGATGGACTTATCTGGAAATGAATGAGTTATATTCCAGTTTTTAGTTTTGTTATAGGTCATAAATTAATTTCTTCCTAGCATAACCTTTTCAATCAGTAATAGGAAAAGGAGAGTAGGAACTCCTGGCTTTCTAATTATCACGTATTTTTTTAGCAAATATTACCTTCAATTGACAAACTATAATGCTTTTCTCCAGTGAAAATTCTACTTTTATCTGAAAGATCAGCATTTGTTTAAAACAATGTGTCAGGAGTCAAAAAACAAATAAACCATTAAAAATGGCCTTTTACCTAGACTTGACCTAATGGTTACTGTTATGTTTGAATATTCATATATAAGATAAGGAAATTATGTTTAGCACTTTAAAGCATTCAAGATTTATTTCTGCATTGATTAGCAAGAGTTGAGGGAACTCTGCCTGAACTAAAATCAGACTCTTCATGCCAATCTTGTGATTTACTGATGCAAAATAGTGTACTGGCTTTGTTTATTTTTTTCTTTTCCACTGGAAAAAACTGTATATTTCTGAATCATAGTTAAGTATTGAAGTGGAAATAAAAATTTTTAATTTTGAAGGGATAAAAATGTATACAGAATAACTGAAAAAATAAAGATAATACAATCTTTGGGGAAATACTCGTGGTAAATGACTTCTTTCCTCTAATTCCTGTAGTGCATCCTTACTGATTGACATCTGAATGGCAGTAATTTGGGGTAATGGGTAGCTACTAATTGAGGGTGAGCTTCACTACTTTGCAGAAGAACATTCTCAAGACCTTCCAGTTTAACACTCAAATCCTGTATTAAGTGCATAAATTGGTATAGAATTTTATGTTAGCCTTCTCTGTATGGGTTAATTTTATCAGGTCTGCTTATGACAGGCGCTAAAGTGTGCTTGAAAGATGTCTGTATACATATGGTAATTTTTTACTTGTGGCTCTGTCTTCTCTATTTATGCAGCGTGGTATCTACCAGCATTATGGCCAAAGATATGTTTTTATTGTGCTATTCTGTAAGTGTTTCTGCGACTATTTCCTTCTAAAGAGTTTTAATGGATATTCTGGTTTCTTATCTGTAGAATTGCATGGCTGCAACCAGTTATGTCTATGAATACATAGATAACTGGGTTACATAGGTGTACCAGAACATTATTGGGAGATAATACTGCTTTTTTCAACGTAGTTTTCAAGCAGTTGACTTCCTAAGACTTACATACTTAAAATGTACCTCCTTGCAGTGGAGTCTCTGAAATACTGTAATTGGGTTTGGTTGGAGTGCCAGTTGATTGTAGGCAATTATGTATGAGGCAGAAATCAGCTAGTTTGATTCCTGGTGTTTTGTTGAGTTTGCAGGAAGACTGCGCAGAGCCCAAAATTGTGCCTTGTAAGGGGATTTTTAGCATTAAGCCCTGGGTTAGTGTTGGGACATGCGGATGACATGGGAGTGTGACCAGGACGCAGGGAGACTGCTCAGTGAGTATTTACTCTAGGGGTGTGTGTGTTAAATTTTACATGCTGACTGACAGTTCTCTGCTTTGAGATCTCAGTGATTCTTGTATTTCTCAAAGAGGCACTGGGTATCTCCTCTGTGAACAGCTGATAGAAGAAAGCCCGTTTCATTTGTGTCAGAAAGAGAGGGAATGACAAAGAATATTCCCCCTCCCCCCCTCCCCCCCCAGCTGAATGGGAGGGGGGAAAAGAAGGAGGAGGGGAGTGCGAGAAAGTCCTCCTGGAGATGAGGGCAGGAGAAAGAGGACATCTTAAAAAATTTTCTGAAAAGAGACAAGACATAAATGTAGTGTAGTGTTCTTCATGTTGTAAAAATTCTGGATAAAATGCTTGGCTACTTTAAAGGTAATCCAAGTTAATCAAAGTTTATAGAAGAGATTTTATGATGTGCTTGCCTAAAATATCAGGGAATAACAATGCTGCTGTGTACCTGTGAAGTGGGTTTGTTACCTTTGCCTTATCTGAACTGGGAAGAGGTCTGGGTCCTGAAAGAACTGCTGCACAAAATATCCTATCATTGCCTATCTTGGCAGATTATAAAGGTGCTGACATCTTTCCATATCAGTATCCAGCAGAAATATTAAGTGTGAGACCGGAAGAAAAATTACTGGAGAGGTTTTGAGACTTCATTAATTTACTTTTTTTTTTTTTTTTTTTTT